GTACAACATTTACTATATATATACACTATCTTAGGTAAGATAAAGGTACAACATTTACTATATATATACACTATCTTAGGTAAGATAAAGGTACAACATTTACTATATATACACTATCTTGGGTAAGATAAAGGTATAACATTTACTATATATATATATACACTATCTTAGGTAAGATAAAGGTACAACATTTACTATATATACACTATCTTGGGTAAGATAAAGGTATAACATTTACTATATATACACTATCTTAGGTAAGATAAAGATTTACTATATATATACACTATCTTAGGTAAGATAAAGATACAACATTTACTATATATATACACTATCTTAGGTAAGATAAAGGTACAACATTTACTGTATATATGTATATATAGTTTTATTTTTTAACCTGGTTTATATGTTCTTTTGTAATCTTACTGATCGGAACAGGTATGTTTACTAGCTTTATTTCAGTTTTTTTATTTTGTAATCTGTAACTGTAACATTATTACACAGTCCCGAGAATACAATGTTCTACACTGTCTGGTTAAGGAGATTTAGTTAAGAAAAGTATTTGTCGCATAACTTTTCTCCCCGTACCTGTATTTGATGAAATAAAGGCAAATACTAAGTGAATAACACCCCTTTATCGTGTGAAAATGAACTGCTCCAAAGTAAAGTCATCGACCCAATCAAAAAATGGTTATAAAAGTACTAGTCATACTATACCCAGTAGTAGTAGTGTGAATGCAGTTGTAGCTCTTATGACTGAAATCAAAGTTTTATTAGATCAAGATTTCGAAAATTATGGTAAGATACCATGTTTTCAGTAGAAGCTGTACACTCTACGAAAGTGACTAAGTATCTCAGGATATGAGATAGACAGTGGTCAGATACAGGTCTTTAAAACAATTCAGTTGTAAATTTTTTTGTCTAAAATACACATTAGCATAAAGCGATCTCAATGGAAGTGAAGCTACTCAAAAGCTCCTGCTGACGAGGAAGTAACCAAACCAAAATCAGTGCAATAAGCTCAATAAACCCAAGTTTGAATTGTTCGACAACAATCATTGACAGATTGTTCGACGGTGGAGATGAAAATCAAGGTAAATCATCTACAGTGATGCAAGGTAGAGGACCATTACAAGTTTGGGGCTGTATCTCATCCATCTCATCAATCTTCACAAAACTGATGGCATCTTAACTGCTGATAAGTACAGGCAGAAATCATTGACAGATTGTTCGACGGTGGAGATGAAAATCAAGGTAAAACATCTACACTGATGCAAGGTAAAAGAACATTACATATTTGGGGCTGTATCTCATCCAATGGTGTTTGCAATCTACACAGAACTGATGGCATTTTAACTGCTGATAAGTACAGGCAGATTATGTTCCACCATGCTATTCTTTCAGGACCACGACTCATCTTCCAGAAAAGTAATGATCCCAAGTATACAGCAATACGGTAAAAGGATATTCTAACTGTAAACAAGCCGATGGTTCGTCGCACATAAAGTTCCAGTATGAACTTTGTGAGACTTTATGGGCCCATATAAAAATTGAAAATGTCGAGAGGCGACCAACCAACTTGAAACAATATTAGATGTCACTCGCACTATATTCATATGTGAATCATATTGTACACCGTGACCACTACTTATCTTTGTGAACCATATTAGAAGGATGTTTACCTTAATGAGTTATACATCCAACATTTCCTTACTTCTGTATCCTTAATGAGTTATAAATCCCATGTTTTCTCACTTTTGTATCCTTAATGAGTTATACATCCCACATTTCCTTACTTCTGTATCATCAATGAGTTATACATCCCATATTTACTCACTTCTGTATCCTTAATGAGTTATACATCCCATATTTACTCACTTCTGTATCCTTAATGAGTTATAAATCCCATATTTACTCACTTCTGTATCCTTAATGAGTTATAAATCCCATATTTACTCACTTCTTGAAGTGAGTAAATATGGGATGTATAACTCATTAAGGATACAGAAGTGAGTAAATATGGGATTTATAACTCATTAAGGATACAGAAGTGAGTAAATATGGGATTTATAACTCATTAAGGATACAGAAGTGAGTAAATATGGGATTTATAACTCATTAAGGATACAGAAGTAAGGAAATGTTGGATGTATAACTCATTAAGGATACAGAAGTGAGTAAATATGGGATGTATAACTCATTAAGGATACTTATCCTTAATGAGTTATACATCCCATATTTACTTACTTCTGTATCCTTAATGAGTTATACATCCCATATTTACTCACTTCTGTATCCTTAATGAGTTATACATCCCATATTTACTTACTTCTGTCACCCAGGCGTTATTGTGTCTACGAGTAGGTTTTCGGGGCCGTTGTGTTCCTGTCTATTTGGGGATCCAAGGGGCGATATGTGTTCATATCCCTCCCCCCAACCCCACACGCATTCACAAGTTGGCCTGGCGAAACGTGACACAAAATGCTTAGGTACCACGGATGGGTGTTCTAATAGGGTTTGCTTTGGGGTACTGACCCCCCCCCCCCGGAATAGCTATAGAAGTAATTGAGGATAATGTTGGGACTTGATCGATACACTGAGGACTCTCTGAATCTTAAGAGAATCCCACAGTGAGGGTATTTTATGCTTGTAACCTTAATAAGTTATGTCTCTTGCATTTTTCCTTGGAAGAAGTATTGTTTCATTGTTTATTTCAAGTCTTGTACAACTTTGATTACGTTCAGAATAAGCTTTTTTTTCAAGTTTGAACACTTAGAGAATACTGTTCTACATTCCAAGAACTTTTAAATCACACACACTCAATCTGTATTAACTCGAGACGTTTAATAATTTTAATGAAATTTTACATCATAGCCTAAAGCTTAAAAACTCTAAAGCAAATTTCATGCCATTCAAACACACGTAGTTTTAGTTGCTATTATTATTATTATTACCGATATAAACTTACTAGTCTTACTTCTGGGTTCTCGGGGTCCATCTACGGTCACTTTGATGGCTTTGTTGTAAGTAGCAACTTGAGGAGGGTTGGAGCTGACCGTTATTGTCAAGGTGAAACTTTTTCCTGAAAAAGAATACATACACTGGACTTTGAATTAAAGCTCTTTGTAAAGACAAACGATAGAATTAGTAGCTGTTTCTTCTATACAATGCACAAATGCCAAAACACTCTTAAAATAGACTACAATACATTTGGGTAAATCGTTATCAAACTTTTCTTTTTCAGACAACGTATACAATTATTTTATTATTCTAGAACTACCGTTTTGGTCCTTTTAAAACTCTGTAGACAATTTACTCTTGTTCGACCATTTTCAAACGTCATAGACTTTTTTCTACGTAATTCATGAAAAAAATTCAGTCCTCATCAAACCTCACAGATCTGTCCCTTCTAAGACACTATAATCAGTCCTCATCAAACACCACAGACCTCTCCCTTCTAAGACACTATAATCAGTCCTCATCAAACCCCACAGACCTGTCCCTTCTAAAAGACTATAATCAGTCCTCATCAAACACCACAGACCTGTCCTTTCTAAGACACTATACCTCATCAAACCTCACAGACCTGTCCCTTCTAAGACACTATAATCAGTCCTCATCAAACACCACAGACCTGTCCTTTCTAAGACACTATAATCAGTCCTCATCAAACACCACAGACCTCTCCCTTCTAAGACACTATAATCAGTCCTCATCAAACACCACAGACCTGTCCTTTCTAAGACACTATAATCAGTCCTCATCAAACACCACAGACCTGTCCTTTCTAAGACACTATAATCAGTCCTCATCAAACCCCACAGACCTG